CAGGACAGAGAGGAAGTCTTGGCGTTGTTCTCTTAATCACCAAAACAAACTCCAACATCCACACGCACACACACACACAGACACACACACTTTTCGAGCAACTGACACAACTGTGGAGGATACGGGGAGGGCGATGAGGGGTGCGCATCTGTTCCTGCTTCTTGTCAGGCTGCAGGAGGAAGCAGAAGGAAGACAGTGTGATTGAGCCGCTGTGACACCCACAAGGTCAGATCTGACTGCTTTCTGCTGTGGCAGCAGTCCGACTGTGAAGGCAGTTTCTTTTGCGCAGAAATTGACGGGTAACTATCCGGTGTAAGCGAAGGGTCCGGTTAGGTTTTGGTGCACAGAGAGGAGCCGGAGAATGGCGGGTAATCAGTGTCAGACAAAGAACTAGTAAACGATGACAGTAAATGCAGGTGAGACAGGTCAGAGAAATACAGCGGAGGGAAGAAGACAAACATGACAACTGCTGTAAACGAGGCGCAAGCTCTTACTGGAAGTATGAAATAACAAGCAGTTTCATGACCTTTCGCCAATTTCAGATACAGATATCATACAGGTTACCTCTGAACATCTAAAACTTTTAATCACTTTCATGAAACAAATCCTCATTAAAGAGAAAGTTGGTTTGTTTCTATTGTTGGATGTATGTGACATTCAAGGCCATGCAAAGTCAAGAAAAACTGCAGCATCACACAGACTTTGGCAAAGAGAGGTCTGCATACAAAAGTACAAATGGCTTTACTCACACAGAAAGGTTTCTGTAGTGCTCAGCCCATCCAAAACCTCTTCAGGGACTCCTTGAAAGCCTGCGCCCTTCTGTGTCTGATATCATCTAAGAGGGGCTTTCCATTTTTTTAAGAACCTCAAAGGCTTGTCCTTGAGTCTCAAACTTATAGCTTCAATAGTGATAAGTCCCATTATTCTCTGCGTCCATTTTAAAAGGTTAGGGGCTTATCAGAAAACCTAAGGGAATGAAAGATTTCTCCTTGAACCAAAAAAAAAAGGGGGATTCAGATGTTTCAACGTGGAGATTTGAAAAGATGCGACGCCGAGCGAATCTCAATTCTGCAAAAAGTAGGTTTGACTTTCATTAAAATGCAACATTAGTTCAACCCTTAAAAAATAAATGTATGTGGAATTCAAAGTAGGGTCTCGGTTTGATGGCACTATTAAGAATTTATGATCATATACCCAGGTGTGTCGTGAACTCAAGGGTCGATCATGACGCAAGCTGCATGATGAGAGAAGTGCAATTAATGACGTCATGGCAACATGGAGATGGAGCGGAGCGGAGTGAAGTAATATATGTGTAGCTATAGCGGTTAGTATCATCCTCTAAACATTACAATACGAATGACCTGGAAAGATTTGAGAACTCCAAGAAAGTAAAAATGAAAAAACGAATACTACAATAGCAAACCAGAAGCATGACCATTTATATAAATCTATATATTCCATCCAAAACTGTTGAAAAGAATAGAGTAATGCTAAAAGTCTGCCTCAGTAAAACATGTCTCCATCTACATGACAATGCTTACATCCATGCCAAGAGCGAGTGCGGTCATCACGTCAGATCTGACCAGCTCAGCATGAATCAGCGAGCAGTGGATCTGCAACTTGTTCATGCTCAGTTATGACGGCCATGTGATGAAGTGGCCATATGTGTGGGTCATCTCTTTATGAATTCCTCACGGTGACAGAGCCTTGCAGGGGAGGACTTATCCGCGAAAACAGATGGGCAGGAAAAGAAGGAGGGAGCCGTCAAGCTGAGAAAGTCCTGCTGGGTGTCTCCTCATGGTAGAATGAATTACAGACGTCTGGCGATGCTCAATGTCAGGATGCAGCACATTATCTCTGATTGATCATTTTAATATTGACTGGGCTGAATTAAATGTAAGTGCACAGACAGAGTGGGATTCATATCAAGGAGAGAGGAGTAAGGTGTCTACTGGAAACACGGAGAGGGTTTTAGTCTGGAGTTTACACCTCTTTAGAGACCAGATATCCAAGAAGTCCTTTGTGTGAAAACAGAAGACACCAGAAATAAGATCTGTATTTGTCTGTGCTGCTATTTTTCAGTAACCTTCACCATAAAAAGGATTCAATACTGTGCAAAAATAGTTATTTCACAATACAATAACCAGCAGACACACAAGCGCCGCTAATTAGCACATCTCCTTTCTCTTTTGTACATTTTTAGCAGACTGCCCATTATAGTTCAATGAACAGCCATAATGCTGCGAAACAAACAGAAAAAAAAACAGCCAATCAAAAGTTAATGAGTGTAGCAGGAGGAGATTACCTAACTGCTGATTATGTGTCCTTTTATTGATATTTCACTTTTCTTTTCTCACTTCAATATCCATCCATCAGGTGTGCATATTGAGGATTTAAGTCATCCCTACCACACTGGCAGTTATAAAATCGTACTCTGGAGAAACACTAAGGCAGCCACTGTGAGGTCACAGACACAAAGGACAAAAAGTGATGGCTAGGATCTATCCCAAATTACTGCTTTTGTTGGGGTCTCCTGGTCTGCAGTGGTCAGAACTGATGACAAGGTCACACTGAGGCTGAAGCAGAAACTAGCCCATGTGGTCTGATCAAACAGAGGAACTTCTGAGGCCAAAACTGCTGAAAAAGGTTCAAGTTGATTCTGATGGGGCTGCAAAGTGCTTAGCCGACAGCCCAGGGATGGAAAACCTGTGTAATACCAACAAGGTTATGAGCAACAGTGAAGCTGGCCACTGAAAGTGCCCTAATATGGGTACCCTGGCGTTAGAACCAGACCAGAAAACAATGGAAGAAGGTGGTCTTGAGAAAAGGTATATTTGTGGGGTGCTCGGACAATCAAGTCTGCTCCATAAAGGCTCCACACACAACTTCTAGGACTTTAAAGTCCCTCTCCGATCTATCTTTTACTACCTAAATTGTTCTCAGTGGTCTTTAAATTGTGATGATGAAGACTTTTAGCCAAAATCATGTTACCCGTGTCATTTTCAAGATCTTTTTTTCTGCATAGCTCCAGTAGCTCATTAGCAATTTGCCTCTGAGTCGTGGGTGGGCGCTGCTCTGCACACTCCTCTTCACGCTAGCTTGTAGCCTAACATTGCCGGTGTAGGTCACATAAAAGCTATTCAGCTAACAGACACTAATGTCTTTGGGGACATGATGAAAGTTAATATCATATTAGCTTTCTTACAAGCAGTGCAATCCGCCAACGCTCACGTTTGTGTCTTGATTGTCCTCTCTACTTCTCCAAGTCTGGCCGGCATAGCGGGGCTACAGGGGCGGAGCTTGGATTTGTGATGTAAGAAATCTCACTGTGTCTGAACCTGCCTGCAATTTGAATGCAGAAATCCCTGGAAATACAATTTCACACTTACTTTTCTCATATGTCCTCTAGCATCAGAAAAATGAACATGTAGACAACAAGAAAAACATGATTTTCATCGGACTGGGTCTTTAAGGACTTTACTGCTTCTAAAGTCTCGGTGCCGAATACCAAAGTATACCCTCATTGTGAGGCAGGTTGTCATTATGTTAAGCTGCACTGGCTCATTGGATTGACCCACAATTTAAGTAACAAACACTGTATTGAAAATTCATCTCATACACCAAATTTTATGGTCACCATTTTTCCCCGCCTCAAATTAAAACCCCAGGAACTCCGGTTTTCTCCACTTCGACATCGGCTTCATTTTCCAGCACTGGCAGTCGATGCTTTTATAAAACATACAAGTACTAATTAACTACCTCCAGGCAGCAAAGCCCTCCTGCCATGACTCCTCTATCTTATCTTTTTAAGTTTTAATGAGATGTGTCACTTCTGTCAATCTGGCACAGTACCAGAGGAAAATTAACTGGTGTGTGAGAGAAGTGGGGATAAACATGTTCTTTCATTTTCATTTGTCAGTGAGTATGACAAAGCAGCAGCAGCAACTTCTTACATTTTAGAAGCTTGAACCCTTTAAAACGTTTTTTTTTTTTTTTTTTTTTCGCCTGGAGCATGGCTCAAACCAGGAATCGATTATCAAAGTGGATGTTGAAATCATTTCAGCTCTGCACCGCTGCACCCTCTGGCAAGAAGTCGTACAAGGTTTGCTCAATTCTGCGAACTGAGGCCTGACCCGACAGGACCCTTTGTAACTGCCACAGGGCCCAACACCTGGATGGGTCTGAGCAGATGAATATCAGATGTGATCATTATCCTTTTACTTCATTATCATTCTAGACAGAAAGTGTGGCTGAAATGGAAAGTTGAAATTGGGAAGTCCATATACTGTGAGTTTTTTGCTTGGTCTGTTCGGGTTGAATTTCTCTTTTTAAATTGTCTTATTATCCTTTACTCTATTCAGACTGGGTTTAACTCCTCCAGTGCCAGGTTCATTTATGCAATTTTCAACCAGTGCCACCATTGACCGCAATAGAAATCTTTTAGGACCCACAGAATATCTTGTGCTTGGACTAGAATTAAGTGCAATATCTCAAAAGAAAATAGTGATTCTCTTCTTTCACCAGATAAAAATGTAGTCTCTAACCCACTCCTGTGTTCAGTTATTGCCTGCTCAGAGCAGCGTGGTCATATCATCTTTGCTGATCTGGGAAAAGAAACCTGAGCAAAAACATTTTTTTACGAAGGAGAGACTTTCAAGCAGAACTCTAATCGTCGATTTCATTTCACCTCAAACTACTTTACCAGTGGCATCAAGGTCCTCTCTCCTTGGACACCACTTCTCATCACTCTCAAGACTCAATTGTAATAGATCACTTTGTGATGCCGAGGAGTCGTATTGGCTCTCGAGAACCTTACGCTGTGACGTAAACCACACGGAGTGCTCGTGTCCTCCTCACTGGGACTGTCGCTGAATTTTGGCTCAGTCTCGCTCACCAGTACCGGCACCGGCGGCACAACAACACGCCCAAAATTTGTTTCATTGATTGTTGCCTGACGATGTCAAGGTCCAGTACCGGGATCTCCACTGAATCCAGAAACGGTAGCAACGCGCCCACAGGAGCTGATGCGCCCAGACCGTTAGCTCTTGGCTAATGACTTCGGCAGGAGACAAAACACTCCACAACTCGGCTAATTGGCACACTTGATGGCACACTTCTCACTGGTGAGTACTTGTTTTTGTTATTGTAACATGGCTGTAACGTATTTTTTGGCTTTTCTACGTTCAGAATGTTCTCAAACTTAGTTGCATGTTGGGGGGAAAAAATCAGTCCAAATCCATCAATGGCACTGAATGAGTTAAGAGTCCACGATCCCATATAAAATGGGTCCTTTTCTTTCTTTTTAAACTGGATTTAATACTGCGAGGAAGTTTTGGTTAGGTTGACCCATATATTTTAAACTAAGGGAGCTTCACTAGAAGCTAGCAGTATTGTTTTTGACATCCTAACTCACCAGATTTGTTCAAAGAGGGAAAAAGGTGTTTATGTGGTTTAATTGAGCATTGCGAACTTTTATTCCCTTCATGTGTGGCCTCAGCAAAGTGTTTCTGTCCCTCCAGCACGGCCTTGACACGTGGTAAAGACACTGGTCCGACTAAGAGGGAGAGAGCATTACCACGTTGGTCAGAGATGATCGCATGGCAAAATGATAAATAGCAGCCGGTGAACTGGCTTACCAGCACGGGAGACTTATCTGTTCAAAGTGAAAAGGCTATCCACTCCTTCAGGGATAAACAAGAAGGAAATGCTGTTCTGGCATTTTTTGAGTACAGCGCTGGATAATTTAGCACCCTGTTTGTGAGTAATGTGCAGAGCTGCGGGTTTGCTATCATACATATTATGATTTTTAATAATATGAAACAGATAAATAGATAGATAGAGGGCGCATGCATGTAAATATGCACACTGCATTGCTCAAAATAAATAGGATACCTTGAATAAGTGCCAAAAATCCTGCAAAACATGTTCAGTATGATACATGTTAGTATAATGTGCAAACACTGTATTGTACTCCATCCATCATATCTGGTATTGTACACAGAGCATGTGAGTATGTATAAGCCCCACTCATCGTTGCTGTCTGCTTGCCTTCAGTTTATGCCACTGAAAATGAAATTCATTTATTCAATAATAACCCACTTTAGCAAGCTGTTCCCCCACTGCCAACGCAACCTGCTTCCCTCAGCTCTAATGGCAGCCCAATTATGAATGGTAGATGGGTACCTAATAGGAGAAACTACCCCTCACTGGGCCCAGGAGGTGCGCGTGAGGGGGAGAAAGAGAGGAAAAAAGGAAGAAGGAGATCACGTCTTCTGTCTGCTTTATACCGATACACTGAGAGGTAATGTTAAAAAGTGCTTTCACCTCAGAGATCAGAGCTGTAATTGTTTTAAGAACTCAATGGCTGCCTTTCTCACTGACTTCAAGAATAAAAGACAGGATTTTGTACTCTGCACTGGAAAGAAATGCTTTAGAAGTAATAACATTTTGTCAAAGACAGACAGTATTGATAGAAGATCAACAACATCGGCTATCCAAAGGCGACGATAACTGCTTTTATCAAGAGTGGTTACACAATCAAATTTTGTTTGGGATACTGAAAGTACAGTCCACGGCTTACTCTCTGATGTACTCTGTCAAGGTCCAGATGTTGTAAAACTGTTGCTTAGATAATAATTTAAATGGTGTCTCTTATTACGACATGAAAAAGCAAAGGTATAAAGAAAACATCCTTCATCATTCCAAAGTGACTTTTTTCTTTTCGTCTCTCTTTCCATTTCCACATTTTAACTCTGACTAATTGACCAATCCAAAGATAGGGAAACAAAAACCTCAAAACTCAGCACAACTCAGATAATAACAAGATCACAGAGTATTTGGATGAGCCTTTTCAGTCTGTGATCAATGCTAGCAGTGCTGGCAAGACAGCTATCAGTTCTCCTTCCACGCCAAAGCATGCCTCGCTATGAGATGCCATCTGTCATTAGGGCCTGTTTACATTAACCATACCACTTCTCATGTAGGAGTTTACTGTTGCTAGGTTATTACATTTGTCCTATGTGACTCTAACTTTAATTTCACTGACCATTAATATGATTTGGAACTGTTCAGTATTTCTTATATTTGCTTTTACAAAACAAAATCAAGCAACAAAAGTTCTCAAAATGCAAATCTGAACAAAATAGATGCTTCCAACATGGAAAAAATGCACGTAGAAGACACAGGCCCTACACTTTTTGTTGTACATGCACTTTTTGAGCAACCACTGCATTAAACATATTGCAAGAATCTTATCCTTATTTTTGGTTAAGGTTTAGATTATTGCAATATGTTTCCTGTAATGGTTACTCAAAAGGGCATGTACAGTAAAAAGTGTAAGGGCCTGTTTCTACTACGTGCATTTTTCTGTGAGGAAAAATGCATATTTTGAGCAACCACTGCATTAAACATACTGCAAGAAACTTAACCTGTACCTTTGTTTTTCCCTGTAGCAGGTGGAGACACTCAACAGGCAAAGCTGTGCACAGTAATCACTGTGCAGGACCTGCCTAGGACCCCCAGAGACTCCCTAACTGAGGAGTGACTTAGCATTAGACTGCAAGATTAATCATGGTTTAGAATAAAGGCACAAAGAGTCAATACCTTTTCTTTCACTGGGGGCCAATCAGAGGGGCAGAAGGCGAGAAAGTGGCAAACACACACACACACACAAACACACACTGCCATACCCTGTCATCTGTAATCTAATCTCAGCCACGGCATGCTAATACATCACAATTACCCACTCAGTCTGGATGGTGCCATTAGAAATACATTGTCTCCATTACCACCCAGAGTCTGCGTGCGTCTGAGTGTAAAAGTGTGTGTGTCAATATGGGAATGCAGGCCCTCACAAGTGTCTGTTTGAGAACCAGGGTGCTCTCAATCTCTCTGCAGACTATTTCATATTCAATTACGTTTTCCTTACATCATTGGGATTGCTGTGTGTATGCCAAGTCAATAATGGCCCAGATCACTTGTCTCAGGCGGAGAGGCATTAGTGACATTTCGGTTGTTAGCACCTTCATTAGAGTTGGGTGGCTGGAACAAGCAGAGGGAAAGAGAGACAGGAAAATAAAGGGATGGAAGAAAGAAAGACAGAAAGTAAAGGACAGGCTTTTAGGTATTAGATTGCGTTCTCTGGAAAAATTGTACCTGCAGACATTTGACAAGCAAGATTTGGATCCAAGTCATCCTGAGGGAGTTTATGTAAATCACTGTAACTGGCCTTCATGATGTCTTCTGTCAAGTTTATTACAAAATACTGATGTAAATAGAAAATGCATGAAAATTTAAATACAGCCCATCAGCATGGGTCTACTTCAGTAAGTTTCAGAAAATGGCAAACAGCCCAGGGAAGTACCTTTCGAGTGGCATGGGCTCAAAACTCATGGGCCACCCAATCATCTTACTCTATTATTTCATGGCTGTTGACCAAACCATTGATCCTACTTCAGGTTAATCAGTAGAGTAATAAACTACAAATATGGCCTCCTTGATGTCATGTATGGTGTAAAGCCTTCGCCATGTCAGTCACAACACATCCACCAGCTCAGGGAATATATGTGTCATTCTTCGCCTCAATTGTCTTAAAGCTCCTGTGAGGAGTTTTTATTTATCGATTTTTTTACATTTATTAACAAGGCTGAAATACATATTAAAATCTTTTTATGACATTCAAAAGCAAACAAGAACATTTACATCTCGATTTACGATTTCTTAATGCCTTAGTAAACTAAAGACCTATCTTTTTAGTCTGGCTTTTAGGTGAATTTGTCTTAATCTTTTAATCTGCATTATGTGATTTATTATTATTTTAATTATGTTTTTTATTACCGCTTTTTAATTAACTTTCTTTGTTGTTTGATTTTAAGACTTTTATTTAATTAAATTTTAACGTTTTATCACCTTTATTATCATGGTTTTAACATTTTAGTCCGAGATCCAGTGTTTCCTATTTTAACTCAAGATAGTGTTTTTTGCTCAGTCATCTGCGGCAAGTTGAGAGGGTGGGTGAGGTTTGGTATTTATATTTTTATTTATTTTATTTCATTGTTTTTTCATATCCTGCGCTAATGGACAGCACTTTGTGCTACATTCCATATACGAAAAATGCTTTAAAAATAACATTTGATTGATTGATTGATTGATTGATTGATTGATTGATTGATTGATTGATTTTGAAGATATGTGTGTTTTTTCTGGTGTCCTACAAATATGGCCTCCTTGATGTCATTTCTTGTTTTCTAAAGAGATGGTGCTTACTTCAGGCCACACCTGCACAAGTCAGTGCAATAGTATGACCACCCTTACCTCAATTGGCATGTGTTCATTTTTTTCCCCTTGAACTTTGCATCTGACATCTGAGCATCTATTGCTCTCTTAAAATCCAGGCCGAGTTAAGATCAACGCCTCCTTTCTGCCTGTTACCTCCTCAGCCCCGTCTTAGAAACCCTGATAAAACTGCAATCTCCTTTAACATTAATCATATCTGAATATTCATTTTGACCTATATTCTAAATTAAGCAATCCGTCCACATGGAGGACTTACCAGGGCAGGACAGCTTTGATGCATGGTTCATTGGTCACGCAAACACAGCAGAACTTTCCTGCTTAATTAGCTGAAAAAGAGAAGTAAGAGCAGGCGACACACTCCCACAAGCTCACGCGCACACACACCTGCACACAAAGACTGTTCAGGTAAATCCACCGCAGCGCTGAACCCTCGGTAACCTCTCAGAGAGAAGCGGCGAGGAGTGACACGCCAATGCCAGAAGAGTTAGCACCACCAAAAAGAACATCATTAGTGTTGACACTTCATTAGGTGGAGACAAAAAAAGAGAGGGACAAGGAGGGAGGAGGAGGAGTGTGTGTGTCAGTCAGAGTACATCCACCACAGATAAAGACATCCCAGCTGGACAAATTGAGCGCTCCAACTGCCATAACCTCAAAACCATTTCACGCAAGGACACACAGTATTTTCTAGTCTTTTCTAAGGGTAAAATATGTGGGCGACCTGACAGCATGCCAGCGCCTCAATAACTCCATGCTGAGGTAACTCAGACAACAACAGGAGATCAAAAAGGTCAGCTGGATAAAGACTTTGAAAGCAAAAGCAAAAAAAAAAGATCTAAAATGTATGAACTTCATGTATGCAAATATCCGAGGCATACGTTGAATAAATAGTTGGCTGCAGAAATATGAAAGCATGTTACAGTGGGTATTTTCAAATGGCCGTTTAATGATAATGAGGCATAACTCGACTGCAGAGGCTACCACGGCGAGATTATAAGACCGATCTTGGGATTCAAACACGTACAATTATGAGAATCAGACACAGAGGTTTGCTCAACTTGCATTTCACAGTTAAGTAAGAGACACTAATTAATTAATAACCCTCTCTCTCTAGCTGTTATAATGTCTCATTAGTATAATAACATCTAAGGGGATAAAAAAAAGTTGAATCCATTTTTCCAAGTTTGCATGAGTGTTCAAAGTTGGCAAAACAACATCGAAACTCCTTCCCTAAAGTGCGCCGGTTTAATCGATTCTCAATGGATGTTTGATTGAATTCAATGAAAATAAGTTTAAAAAGATTTTATTTTTCCCCCTGTCTGTGAGAAGCAGGTGCTCGAAAGTCTCATTCTGCCTGGAGAAACAACACCTCTCCAAGCCTCTTCATTGGTTT